CAATTTGGTACCAGAGTTAAGACAAACAAAGAAACAAAAAAAAACCCAAATACTACCTCCTTCCAGATGTCATGGGCTGGTGATTAGGCTTCACAGATTAATAAATAGCTGCTCATATGCATGTAGTCCAGCCAACATGCTAACTAGGAAAAGTTCTGAACCAGATGGAGAAAGGCAGTGAGTCCTTCTTTCTAGAGGGCAATGCACAGAAGTAGGACCCTGGCTTCAAGCAGCCAGTATTCAAAATGGGGACAAAGAAAAAAGATCAGGCCTCTAAAATACTGCTGTCTGTCAACATGCTGAGCCCCGTACCCCAGTCACCTTGATTCAAAGCAGGCACTCAATATACACTGGCTGACTAATGGACTCTAGCTGAAACCCAAATATATAGCGGGCTGCATTCTAAAGAAATGTGGGATTTCAACAGTGTTTGAACCGGACAGATAATGTCTGAGAGTCCCAAAGAACAGGTAACCCAAACAGCAAAGAAGGTGGTGCATACAATTAATATGCTTAGCCACTAACTGAAAGGTTAGAGGTTGAAGTCCACCCAAAGGTGCCTTGTTAAAAAAACAGCCCTTGAAAATCCTGCAGAGCACAGTGCTACTCTGACACACACGGGTTTGCTTGAGCCAGAATCAACCTGACAGCAACTGGTTTGGTTTTATTTTGACTCCACCTCAAAAGAAGGGAAAATGAAATTAATTTGAAAGTACTTTAAAGATGAGCTTCTTACTTCTAGAAGTATCTCTTAGAGCTGCCTCACAATGCTCCTTTATGCAAGTATACCCTAAAGCACACAGGGCTGCAGACAGAAATATTGGGAAGATGTAGAGCTAATTCAAGTAAGATTTTCATCATTAAGATGTCTGAAATTTCTAAAAACTTGGTTGGGAATGGGTGTCAAATGCACAGCAGACACACAGTAAGAATTTACTGAACTGACAAGCCTCATTAAAGTTGCTCTTTAGAGGGCAAAGACCAGACTGGCTCTTACCACCAGGAAGCCCAAGACCAAATGGGCACAAAGAATTTGCCTGAACAATGGATTTAAAGGAGCAATCAAGCACAAGCAGACATTTATAATGCCCAGATGTTCCCTACTTTATTGAGAAGTTGCTTCCTGGGTAAAGTACCTAACCCAAGTCTATTTAAGCTGGTGGTGTTGGAGATACCAGGTACCAAGCATTGGCTCTGGCGGGGACCTGGCTTCCTTATACCATCCTCTGCTTCACCATAAGTAGGTTAATATCTAATTCACACCTATTCACTTTGCTTAACAATCCTGACTCCAATTAGATTTAGTGGCTCAGCTGGAAGGATCCAATTCCCTTTCTTTGCTGATCCCTAGCTAAAAAAACAAAAACTCACTGCCATCCAGTTGATTCAACTTATAATCACCCCTGTTGGGTTTCTCAGGTGGTAAATTTTTATGGAAGTAGATTGGCCCATCTTTCTTCCACAGAGCAGTTGGTGGGTTTGAACTGCCAACCTTCTGGTTAGTAATCAAATGCCTCAGGTGCTATGCCACCAGAGCTCCCACTTTAGGAGACAGCAAATATATGGCAGGCAGGGGTACTGGTATTATACTTCTATGATCTTCCACTTCTCAAACTCAGTAGGTGGATTTGAGAAAAGAGAAAGCTTGCCTGCTATCCCAGTCACAAAGAGAAAACTTGGAAAAGAATCCTCCAGCCCCAGCTGACATCCTGACTGCAATTCTATGAGACTCTCCCTGTGCCAGAACCATCACACTCAGCTGCTCTTCAATTCATAACCTACAGAAACTATCCCATCATGTGTGTTGTACTAAGTGATGGGACAATTTGTTACACAGCAATCCTAACAGTGCAAGGACAAAAGTCTTGGCTTGCAAGTCCAGTGCCTGGAAGGCTGCTTCTCTACACCTGGGCACTTGAGAACACTATGCCTATTTAACTGGGACTGGAGGGAGTGGAACCTGATGAACCAGAAGAAGAACTATGACAATGCATGTCTCCTGCTGGAACTTGGAAGAAAAGGTCATTTCTTGTAAGATAGATTTTCCCAAAAAGCATAGAAACGTGGTTTCCTCATAAAAAGAAAAGTACAAATGGTCACTAGTATTTTAAGAAACCCTAAGAAAAAGCCAGGATATAGTATTCATTTAGGGCTCTGAGGGTCCTTCCAAACATCCAGAAGAAAACCACCGACTGGACTCTGGTTTGCCCTGAAAATGACTCACTGAGGCACAGAACAAAGGTGTCTCTACTGCCTTGTGGAATTATCTTTAAAATGCAGATTCATGGCAATCCAAGTATCTCTAGTAGTGGTAAACCCAAACCAAACCCACTCCCACTGAGGACACAGTAGAACTGCCCTGTAGGGCTGCTGCCAGGACTGTAAAGCTTTACAGAAGCAGACTGTGTCATCTTTCTCCCACAGAGTGGCTGGTGGGTTCGAACTAACAACCTTATGGTTAGTAACAACCTTATGGTTAGCAGATGACTATTTTATCCACTCTGCTACCAGAGCTCCTCGCTAGTAGTGGTAGCCTCCAGGAAAGAACTGCAGCAAGTAAGGTCTTTGCAGAGCAAGGTAAGGGAGTTGGCAGCTACTCTATCATATAGCTAACCCTCCCAAGAAATACTGGAAACATGTCCTCTGCTTGGGAGGCTGTGTGCAGAGTCCCCAAGATACTACTCAATCTCATGTTTTAAATCCATTTCCCATTGTTTAGTGAGGAAGCCACGTTTTCATATGTAGCAATAAAGAATGGCATACACTTCAGCTCCCTGACAGAATAACTAGCTGCAAGCTGTAGTCAGATTCCACAGGATGCCAAGGCCAATGTATAAAGAGTGACGCTTCATTCCCAAAGAATCATGCTCCCCAGAGAGCTCCCGAAGAAGTCCTGGGCAAGCTTCTTATGCAATTGATGGTACAACTTACATTTTTCCAAGAGTACATAAAGCAAAATTTGGAGTTTAACTGAAATCAGAAAAGGGAATCATTAAACAAATAAACAAAAATACTTTTTCTGATCATCAAATTTTGAGACTCAAAGCATCCCCAAAACACTGAAAATCCAGCTTATTCCTAAGAGACATCAACCATCACAAAAAATTTTCGATCTTTGAACAATTCACGTTTTGCAGCAGAAAACAATAGCCTTTCTCTCTCTTTTTTCTCTGTGTTCACAAACAGGGTCTTTTCATAGCTCAAAAGAAAAAAAACTTACTTTCTTAACTAATTGGCCCTTTTACTCTCACTCTGGGATCTGATCTCTTATGAAGGTTCAGAACATCAAATCTGACCAGAAACTTCCAGGATACCAGTGGCTACTTCACTGTCTTTCTAGGACGGGATGAGGTACATTAGTCTATGAGTGGAGTCCCTCTCCTGTGATTACTGTGCCACTCAACAGTCATAGGAAAGTGGGGTGGGGATGAATAGGAATGAGAAAACAAAGTGGTAAAAGTATGAGGCTTTCATAAACAACCCACAGCAAGGCAGAATGGTCCAGTTTCACAAACCACCCACTACAAACTCCGAACATGCACACCCAAAATTAGAGGACAAGAAAAGAGCTCACAGGGACTCAGGAGACAAAGAATGGTGACAGAGAACAGTAAGTCTTCCATAGACACTTCTCACCTCCCTAACACTGGAAGATGTTTAATTAAAAAGTTGCTGTTAAAAATTGTACTGAAAACATATCTAAAAATAGGTCTGTAGTCATCTTAAAAATAAAAGGTCACTACTCAGATAAGAGTGACAGATATTGCCAGATACCAACACTTGAGGTATCTTTGATATAAATTTGAAAAATTGCCTGCCAGAGAAAAAGCAAGGAGTGAGAAGAAAAGGGGAACATTCAAAGTACAATGGGGAAAGTAAGAAAATTAGGAAGTACACACTTATAAGCCCATGCTTATCTATCCCAGCAGCCAAACAAAGCAGGCCCAGAAAAGAAAAATTTTTAGTTTTTTTCTTAGAACATTCTGAAAGTCAACTCTAAACTCAAAATGTAAGAAACTGCCATCTGAGACAAATATCACAATCACGGGGCTACTGAGACTGGGTACTCAAATGGTTCATTTTTAAGTATTAACTGGGACAACACTATCATCAGGCCTTATCCATCAACTGGAGGCATAAGTGCCTCTGTTACTTGGTGAAGACCTGCTTTGGGAGCAGACAAAATCATCAGGGTATCTCATAGGGCGTAAAAGAGTCTGCAAGCAGCAAGATGCAAGCAGAGAGGAAATAGGAAAGAACAGATGGTTACCAAGGGCTCCCCTCTGATGGAGAGTTTTGTACAAATGTACTAAGTAAAGGAATAAGAAGATGAATACCAAAGACAAAAGACACTCCTCCCAGAAGAAGAAGGGGAAGCAACCTTAAAACAATGTCAGAGGGTAATGCTACCAGAGTTGCACAAACTGTACTTTGTCCCTAAGGACCAATACCAAAGGGAAAAAGCAGCTCTCCTTTTATTATTTCCCACTAATGTTTTTTTAAAGACCCCCAGACCCAGACTTTTGCAGCATTGGACCACAAGTGGCATATAGTCAGGTGAAGCAGAGGGTAAGGAACATGAAAAATGCTGAACACATCAAACCTGTGTACTCTTCCCCAGACTTCCCAGTCAGGTAGCTATTGGTAGGCTGATATTTTGAGTTGGGACTTTTTTTTTGGTCTCAATAGAAAAATAACTAGGGAGGTCTGAGTTTACTCTGAGGCTGCTTAGTTCTGAGCTGTTTAGTTCATAGAAATATGCTAAGGGCCTTCAATCAAACCTATCTAACTGGGAAGGGGACCAAGAAATAGGGAGAGGAAACAGTCAGATGAAGCTCATCTTTGCATCGTTTGGCACCCGGAGGAGGAAGAAGAGGTGGAGACTGCAATGGGGACTGCTGGTACTGCCTTTTCTGTCTTCTCACGGTGGATCCTATTGGCCAAATCAGGGACATGCAGGTATTGGTGTTGCTGCTTTTCTTCTGTTCCTTGCAGGACAGTCAGATGTCCATCTCAAACTGAGCGTCATCCCCTAGTTAGAATGAAGAAAATGAAAAGTTTAGCACAAAAAGGAAATGCTAACTGTTATTCCCTCTACATAAGGATCAAAAGTAATTCAAACTGCCCCATTCTCTGATGCTATAAAACAAAACCAATGCATGCTATGATATGGATGAATCTTGAAAACATTAGATGGAATGAAATAATCTAGACACAAAAGGACAAATATTGTATAATCTCACTGACATGAAATATCTAGAAGAGGCAAATGCATAGAGACCAAAGTTTATTAGTGGTTCTAGGAGCTAGAAGAGGGGAAATAGGGGAGTTATTGATTAATGGGTACTGAGTTTCTATTTGGGTGATGAAATCTTTTGGAAATAGATAATGAAGGTGATTGCACAACATGATGAATGTAATTAATGTCACTGACTTATATACTTAAAAATGGCAATTTTGTTGTTATATACATTTTACCACAATTGGGGGAAAAAATAGTAACAACTGAGCTCCTGGAGAGCTCTTTGCCATCTATCATGTCAGCACACTTTTCCCGCAGCCTGGAACTCTGGCCCTGCCCTGAATCCTCCCTTTGTCCATTAAAACCTCATTGGGAATCTGAGGAAATAGAATACTAGCTCAGGCACAGAGGTCACCAAATGCAACCCCAGAATTTTCACTTCAGGAGCTAGCCATTGCCGCCTCCCCGTTGTGCTCCACAGAGAGATAGAGAAGTCACCACTCAAGTGTGTATGCGCCTTAGGCATATAGGGAATAATTATTTAAATATCACAGGCAGTTCTGGAAAATGGCAGAAACAAATCACATTGTTTTTCCTCACACCATAAAAAAGACATTATTCTTGTAAGAAACAAGGTCTATTTGCTGAAGGTGATGGAAACAGAAGGCTATTACATTCTAGATTTTGTTTTGTTTTTTTGTGTGCGTTTTATCCCTAATCCAATTTAGTCTAGGCTAGGCAGTCTTTAAAGGCATGCTTCAAGAAGTCATCTTTGGAGTTTCCCATTCCCTGATTTTGGATCCTCCCTCTCCCACCAAGTAGATTATATTTTACTATCATTGATTAATAAGTATGTTGATTATATTTTGCTATCAATGAGATGGATTGACAGAGTGGCTGCAATGATGGGCTCAGGTATAGCAAGGATCATGAGGCTAGCACAGGACCAGGCAGTGTTTCATTCTGCTGGGCATAGGGTCACTATGAGTAGGAGACGACTCGACGGCACCTAACAGCAACATCATCATTGAGAACTTAGGATTTCCAGAGCATTTCAGTAAACCTTGAAGGGGACTGAAAAATCCTTTGATGCATACAACTGAACATCAGTTGTAACTGAAGCATCAGCAATTTTCCAATCTACAGATGACTGGCATTTAAAGTCCCAGAACTACCCTAACAGGGACATTCTCTTACCAACTGCATGCTTCCTGTCATGACTGTTCAAGTTGTTCAAATTGTTTACTTCTACTTTGGAGTCTTCAATTAAGGTGCTAGGACTAGTGACTCCAGGAATATTGGGCAGATGGCAGGGCGGGGTCTGAGCCATGGGAGAATTGCGACGATCCAACAGAAACTTTCGATCATATATGATTCGGGTTCCTGGAAAACAAGAGTTGCGAATAGTTTGAAACTAATTAAGGTGCTATCAACATATAACAATACCCAAGAATTTAGTTTAAATCCCATCTAACCCTTAAGGATTTTGCAATTCAAGGAAAGAGGACAAGCGAGCTCTGGTTAGAGCTTCTGACCTCTCACGGCCTCTGACCAGGTACCTCCGATCTGGAATGCCCCTTCCTCCTCCTCTTCCTGGTTCTACTTATCCTTCAAGACGCAGTTCCAATATCATTTCCTTTATGAAGCCTTTTAAAACACCTTTCCCACAGTCTCACACCTCACTCATGACACATCACTATTACAGGGCTTCTTACACTTGAAATTGCCAATTTATCTATCTGCCTTTAGAGATGTGTATTCCTTCTGCCAGGTCTATCTATGTCTTTAACATTAAGTAGATCTTCAAAAGCTTTTTAAATGACGGAATAAATATGTGAAAAAAAAGTCAAAATGCAATAGCCACCTTCTTTAGGTAAAAGGCCTTCCAAAGAAGCACTAAGAACATTCTTCCCAGCGTTATGGGAAAAATTGGAACTCTATTCTACAAAACAGAATCTGCTTACCTATAAGTGCTTATGTTTTAGAAACAATAGTTCTGATTACTAATAATTTGTAACTTTATCTAATAAGCTAGTGATGAAAACCTGCCACTGTCTATCCCTCTGGTCATGGTCTTCCCACACAACTAAGTGACAGTTTGGAGTGGTTTGTTTTTTGATGTTAGCCAAACACAGTGGAAGCCTGGAGTTCTGCTGATATTCTAAGTAACAGCTGGCTTGGTAAGAGAGAACGTGGTGATCAGTTAGTGGGGGCAAACTATTGGAGAAGGGATGGTAGCCCAGTTTATCTGCCATCCTACCTAAGTAAACAAAGTAAGACAGTCATATGGTAGTATCTTCCTCACAATAGGCCTAAATCCAGAAGAAAAACTTGCCTTAAGGGTTTAGGCATCCAAGTGAAAAGAAATATATTATGTATAAAGTATTACATATAAAATTACCCAGTTTAAAGGGGTAGAATCTAAATATTGCATGTCTGTAAAATGCCTTGTATTTATATTCTCAAGTGGAAAGAAAAAAAAAAAAAAAAACTCCTGTCATGTTATAATAAGGATAGTCTTGCTCAGACATATTTCCTCAAACACCACATGATTGCTACACCCCAGGAAACAGAAGAATAGAACAGCTGACAAATCCATCTGAAATATGAGGGAGCAACCAGAAGAAAAGCAAGGCATGAGGAATGGAAACTCTGGAGTCTTCCCAAAGAAGAGACACGACTAATACTTAATCTAAAAAAATAATGCCAACTTTAAGTTAAACAGTTGGGAAATGGATTGAAAACTCAATGAGTTTCTTAGGATTAACATTCACTTTAGCACATATGCAAGGAGCTCTGGTGATGCAGTGGTTAAGGCATTGGGCTGCTAACCAAAAAGTCCATAGTTTGAACCTGGCGCTCTGCGGAAGAAAGATAAGGCAGTCTGCTTCTGGAGAGATTTACAGTCTTGGAAAACCAGTGGAAGTTGGAAGTTGCTATGAGTTGGAATCAACTAGATGGCATTGGGTTTGTTTGTTTGTTTTAGTTTGCATAAATGCTAGTAAATAACTTCCTTTGGACTGGATGAAAAAGAGAGCCAAATGAGTCTTTCCTAAGTTTTGAGAAAACAGTCAGATAAAGACTCTACTGCCCCCTCCACATCTTTGAGTTAACAACTACAATTAAGCAGTAAACATATTATGTTCTAGATAATATTACAAAGTCAGTCAGTAACAGGAAACAATGACTTAAGTTTCTCAGAATGGAAATGGATCTGGGATGTTCTCAGAAGGCCATGTATCAGCACATGCAGGCATGTCAAAACAAAACCTTTAAGGTTTTCAAACCAACTCCAAAGAATATTAAATTTCCTTTTACTATCTATTTCTGTTGTAAATACACTGCACAATCATACTTAAAAATATCTAGCTCTCGATCTCTCTGTTATAAGCTAAGAAAACTATTGTATCCTTATTGGAACCCACTAGTAACAGGTTTTTTTGGGTTGCTGACCTACAGATATCTGCAAAAGAGTCACCTTGAATGCTTGTTAAAAAACAGATTCTAACTGGATTGCAATCTCTGGGAATAGAACCTGGGAATCCTATTTTTCTTAAATTCTGCAGGTGATTCTTATGTTCATTAAAATTTAAGAACTGCTGTGATTGGAGAAAGGATTCAACTTCATTCTTCCTCCAAAATCCTAGTTACAGTGGTTTAAGATGCAATATCAAAGAATTAGAAAGATGGAAAGGGCTATAGTGATCACATATAATGTTTCATATTCAATAAAGTTTCTCATTTTGACAGATGGTGAGACCGAGGGAAGTGACTTAATCAGGTCACAATGCTAACTAGAGGCAGAATCATAATGAAAACTGCTTTCCTGACTCCTAGTGGAGCACTTTCTACTCTAACACACAGTCTCCAACAGTGGGATCAAGTTGTCTGAAGTGAAAGGAGTAGAAGGGTCACTGCATTACCAATTAAAATAAGAAGGAAAGGAGCAGATGGCTGAAGTTATTTCTATGACAGAGACCACCAAGCATTTGCCCTAAAGCACTGCTTCTCTATCTGGGAGTTACCACCCTCTAGGGAATAGTATTACAGACATTGGTGGAGGTGGTTTTTGTTTGGTTTTGGTCTTCTCGTTTGGCAAGGCTTCAGTAATTACTATTTTATACATTCTTAATCCTTATATTTCTTTTTATGTGATAGAGAAACACTGTTTTAAAACTTACGTGAATTGGTAAATTATACAATCTAAAAAAAAATTACTTCACAATAGCACAATGAGGTATTAACAAAATACGGGTAATAAAAGGGATGGGGATCTCTAAAGGACAGCATGGCAGAAACTACCTGAAACTGAACTTGACATTAAGATTTTAACCTTAGCAGAAAACCTTTGCATGCCTCCCTCCAATCCACAGTCCCTGGAGAACAGGTGGAAAAGTTGGAAATCATTCATTTCTGATTTAAGGATGACACAGTCATATTCTTTTAACTTCTTATTGGGATTTAGAAGAAAGTTTACAAAGCAAATTTGTTTTCCATTCAACAATTCATACACATTTTGATTGATGACATTGACTGCAATCCTCCCAATGTAATAGCACTCTTTCCCCTTCCTTTGTGTGATGTTTCCATGCGTCCTTTTTTCCTGTCTCTTCCAGCCTTCTGAGCTTTATCCCTGGGCAAATGCTGCCTTTTTGATCTCATGAGGTTGGTTGTTCAAGACAGTGCATACCTCTCTGGTGTTACTGTTCACCTTAAAGGCCTGTCTACTGTTTGGCTGAAAGTTTAGTTCCAGGCTTGAAATGTGTCTAAGGACCACTGTCTCAGGGTTTCTAGTTTCCAGTTTCTATCACAACAGTAATCCTGGTCTTACTATTTTCAGTTTTGTTCCACATTTTTCTCCCACTCTATCTAGGACCTTCTATTGTGATCCCTTTCAATGTGGTAAGCAGTGGTGGCAGGGCACCATCTAGTTCTTCTGGTCTCAGGGTTGTGGAGACTGAGGTTCCCACAGTCTGCTAGACCTGTGGACTAATTGTTTCCACATATCTTTGATTTTCTTCACTTTTCTTTGCTTCAGACAAGGAAAGACCAATAGTTGTACCTTAGATAGCCATTCATAAGCTTTAAATACCCTAGTTGCTACTCACCGAAGTAGGATGTCAAACACTGTTTGTGGACTATGTTATGCTTTCATGTCCCCTAAGATTATGGTCCTGAACCCCCAGGCCCAGCAACTTATATCCTATTTTAAGTATCATTTTAGGACAAGAGAAGTACAAATTTATCTTCTTCTCCCTTGGTCTGAAAGATAACAACTATAGTAACAACTCAAAAAAACATATGGAAATTATGAGGAATGAGAAACGAGACAACTTAGTCTCTAACTTTCAAAAAATGAACAATTTGACTTATTTTGGATGGAAATTTTTCTAATACCAGTATAAAACTTTCTACTACCTTAAACAAAAAATGAGAGCTCTGGTGGCATAGTGCCTAAGGCCATTTGACTGCTAACCAGAAGGCTTGTGGATCAAACCCACCAGCCACTCCTCGGAGGAAGGTTGGGCAATCTACTTCTAGAATGATACTGCCTTGGAAACCCAAGAAGGGGTGGCTTTGAGTCAGATCTGACTGGACTGCAGTGGGTAAATGCGGTGTAGTAAATTACTTAGTGTGGCTTTTCTACCCATAAGTCTTTGTAAACTCCAAGGTGGGATTTTCTATGAGCAACTGAGGAGCTCCTGATTGCTGAAGTTGTCCACCTGGAGTATTTCTGTTGGGAATGGCACAACACAATGTTCTGGGAGGTGCCCACTCTCTCTCAAGTGCTTAGAGTTCTGATGCTATGATTGGCTAGTTTGACCACCCTACCGGGCTCAAAAGGAGGCCTCCTAGAGGCAGAACTCTCTCTGACTGCTGGTTGAGGAAGACGTGCTGCTGAAAGGGACACAGGCTCCTGAGACACGCGTTGCTGGGAAAGAGACGCAAGAGACACGCATTGCTGAGTGAGACATTGAGGGACCAGCACTGCTGGGAAAGAGACTGTGAGAGACTGTTGGCTGAGGGATGGTGGGCTGGGAGAGAGACTGAGCATTTTTCCTGAACTCAAATTGTAGCCTGGTGCTTTCCTAATAAACCTCATAATCTGTGAGCTCTGTGTGGCCACTGCAGCGAATTATCGAACCCAGAGGAGAGGTGGTGGGTGCTTTGGAAGGAACAGTTGGTGAAAGGGCTGGAGGGAGGCAGCATGTCTGGCCTGGCAGGAATAGGCCTTGGGTTACTGCTGGTAATCCTGTCTTCCTCTTGTAGGGTTAGAGGAGGTCGGAAGATGTGGCCTCCTTGCCCTTTTTGCAGTAAACAAAAAATAATTCAGTCCTTTCTTGATGAATCAGAGTCGTTACTATGAAAATCATTTATTATAC